CCACCCCTGATTCCAACTCCTGGAAGGTTCGGCAATGGCCTTACTTCAATGGTGGGTTTCAAAAAATTTTGGAAGCTCTTCTGTAGGTGTGGCCTGCTTTCCGGGTCCACTGGTGGAACCTCTTCTAACCGGTTCGGTAGATTTGACGAACCGGTTCTACCGAACTGGTGCGAACCGGTAGGAACCGACCTCTGCCTTACTTGCTGGGAAATTATGGATGTTGGATCACACATCCCACCCAGATTGGGTAAGGCAATTAGACACCTACTGAGGTAGATGGATCAGGGTGCCAGTAGCCAATTCATCAGCTGCATTGGTAGACTGCTGGCTTTCCAGGAAAAATGGAATGGGTGGAGGAAAGTTTTGGCCAGGTTCCCCATCTTGTGACAAATGCCCTGAAGATATATTTTTTTCACCTGGGAACTGAAACATATGAAGAACGGTGGCAGGAACTGGGTATGTCTAGTCTAATGAAAAGAAGGACTAGTGGAGACGTGATAGCAGTCTTCCAATATTTGAGGGGCTGCCACAAAGAACCTATTCTCCAAAACACCTGAGGGCAGGACAAGAAGCCATGGGTGGGAACTAATCAAGGAGAGAAGCAACCTAGAACTAAGGAGGAATTTCCTGACAATTAGAGCAATTAGCCAGTGGAACTGTTTGTCCCCAGAAGTTGTGGGTGCTGGATGTTTTTAAGATGAGATTGGACATCCATTTGTCTGAAATGTTACAGGGCTTCCTTCTTGAGCAGGGGTTGGGCTGGAGGACAGCCAAGGTCCCTTCCAACTCTTCTGTTATCCTGATCAGGGTGTCAGTAGCCAGTAGCTAATTCATCGGCCGCTTGGGTGGCATGCTGGCTTTCTAGGAAAGCTTTGGCCAGATTCCCCATCTTGGGACAAATGCCCTGAAGGTATTCTTTTTCATCTCTGTATAGCAGGAGATCCCTTACGTTAAAATCCCTTAGACACATACATGCCATGAGTTCGTGGGTAAAAAAGGCACCACCAGACGGAAAGAGAATGGAGAGAAATTGACATCTTCCTTAATTTCTCCTCCTCCAAAGCATGCTAATTATTTCCTTCTGGTATTTTCTAGAAGTAGCTAGGACTTCTTTTGTTACGCCCTCTGGCATAAGGAAGTGAAACTCCTTTTGTTCTCTAATGCCTCGTGTTTTCTTTGCCCCACATGATTAACTACTCCAGATATGGAAGAAAGTAGAAATGAAATGTCACACGAAAGCTCACAAAATCCTTCAGTAAACGTGCTGCCTGAGGAGGAATTCTAAAGTTGCTACGGCAGGTAATCCTTGGTTTAGAGAATCCAGCAACAACATAGTGAGTTGTTGTTGGTCTACCATAGGGATGGCTAACCTTTTCTGGACCGAGTGCACAAAGTGTGTGCGTGCGTGCGTGCCTGAATGCACGCATGCCAAACCCCCAGAATGCAACGCCCGTGCGCCCTCCACATCAACCTGCCTCCATGCATGCGCGTGTGGCTCCCCCCCAAGACACGAAGGCTAGCTGACCAGTGGAGCTGAGCTTCGGTGATGGCTCATGTATTTTTCCCCTCCTTAAAATGCCACTTGACTTTCTCCCAATTAAATGAGGTCTCTGCTCTGAAGAGTAGCATTGTGTACTAGGGGACTGATCCACAGAGAACCCTGGTCCTCCGGCATCACACCCAAGTGGGAACTCAGAAAAGACATATTGCTGGCCCCTAACCTTAATCATAGGGTGGCTCAGTGGCTAAGACACTGAGCTTGTCAATCAGAAAGGTCGGCAGTTGGGCGGTTCGAATCCCTAGCGCCACGTAATGGAGTGAGCTCCCATTACTTGTCCCAGCTTCTCCCAACCTAATAGTTCAAAAGCACTTAAAAAATGCAAGTAGAAAAATAGAGACCACCTTTGGTGGGAAGGCAACAGTGTTGCGTGCACCTTTGGCGGCCACATGACCACGGAGACAGTTTCAGACAGCACCGGCTCTTCAGCTTTGAAACGGAGATGAGCACCGCCCCCTAGAGTCGGGAACGACTACACATGCGTGCAAGGGGAACCTTTACCTTTTTCCCTAACCTTAACCATTCCTAAAATTCGGAAGCCAGCCTGGCCCGCTGTTGAGAATTCTTGGGAGCTGAAGTCCATGCATCCCAAGAGGCCTTAAATGAGACAAAAGTGAATCTACAGAAATGTGGAGATGTTGGATCGAATAGAAGGCAAAGATCATCAGCCATTTCTCAGTCCAAGGATGCAAATCCAGGAAGCCGCATGCCAGGGCATGATGGTGGTCTTGTGGCAAAAGTGAAAATTGTGGTTTTAGTGGATAATGCCACTTGTGAGATGATAGTTACAAGGAAAAGTTGAAAGTTGTTTCTCAGATGGCTTATT